GTGCCCTCAGGCAGCTGCTTGACCTGCCTGTAGGGTTGCGCCGGCTCTGAATGTCACTCATCCTTTTCCACATCCTGAAAAAAGAACCATGCCCGAGATTGAATGTGCCTGGGATCTTATTGCCGTGTAGAGTTCTTAGGACCTTCATAATAAAGCTGCTGGCCATGTTTGTTGAAGAGCGGTACCGATAGCGCTAGATAGGCACTCATTGAAAATGAACTTTCCCTTCAATCTATTCCAGGATGAATTTACCTCCAATGAACTGGACCAATGATGTGGGAACAAAGACCAATGCCGTCACGGCAAACCCAAGCATCTTAATAGATAAGTGAGTGCTGCGCTCTCCTAATACGAAAAATAATTATTTCTGGACTATTTTTTATTTGTGATCAGTAATTCGGTGTATTTCCTGCAGAACTACAAGACCCAGGATACCCTCTCAGCTTTTACTAGGCACCCATTTCTGACCGGGCCTACCAAGATTTTGTAACTCCCAAATAACAATCTTTTTGGGAGGACCGTTCATTTTTCTTTTCCAATTGACCCTCTTTAAGGAGCTGCAAAAAGAAGTGTGATACCAAAAATGTTAAAGGAGAACTATGAGGGGGGGGGAGGAGTGCTTTTCACTTCACTCACCTCATAGTTCTAGCCGACCTGTGACAATGAGACTGTCACAGGTCGGCTCAGTAGATCGGGAGGTGAGCGAACGCCGGTCACGCCGATCCCGTCACGGCTCTCTGCCATGACAGGGGAGGGGCTGGATTCCCCCCTCCCCGCTCCGATCCTCCAGCGCTGACTGGCGGAACGGACGGGGGAGGAGGCGGGTACAGCTGGCTCTGCCTCTAGATAGGCAGAGCCAGCTGTCACTCAAGCAGCTGGGCGGATCTTGACATCGATGTCGGGATCCGCTCCGGCTATGGCGTCTCAGTATACCGCGAGCTGTAGCTCCATATATACTGAGCCTAGGGTGACGGGAGGACGCTAGTTTGTGTGTTCCCGTTACCCTAAGGAGAACTATGGGGAAAAGCCCTGACCCCATAGTTCTCCTTTAATATTTCCCCACTACCACCTCATTTAACCCAAGGGGGTACCATCCCCTGGTTCTGCATTGGCCTGGCCAGTGACTTACTAGAATTGTGATAGACCTGGGGCTATATGTAATTTAAATAGAGAGTAGGAAAACCAGGCCCAGCAGTGGAAATGGTTTAAAGGGAATGGTTAACTAGAACCTAAGCCCAGGGGTGTCCCTAGCATAATTGCCTCCTGAGGCAGTGTGTGTGGGGGGGGGGGGGGGGGTGATTTGGGGGAAAATGTT